ATCCAATACGGAATGGCAGTAGAAAAGGAAATAACTTACATGTTCAAGGAACACATATATTTTTTATGTCATCCATAAATCCTTTTTATGGTAAAGGCATTAGAAACCAGCTGAAATTGCTGTGCCTGTTCTCAAACAAGATTTATAGAACATGAATGACAGGAGAAATATGAAAAGTTATAGAGATTTCATAAGGCTTTTTTAGACTAATGGACTACAAAAATATAAGCTGAATGAAATAAAAGAGCTACCTGACAATTAACAGGTTCCCTCGAGAGAGGTAAAATCTGCCAAAAACCATGTCTGTGTGAGCTCAGCAACATGCTGCTAGTGCTTAAGCTAGTGCCGGAAACATAATATGTGCTCAAAAATTATTTTTGAACTAATTAATGGATTTATTTTCTCAGGAATCATTGCAGAAGGTATGGCACAACATCATTTTCAGCTAATAAAATCTTTTGCAGAGCATGGTTGGAATGTAATTCAAGTCAAATTCTTTTTAAATGGACCATATGTGTGCAACCTGCAAGTCACCTTAATTAGAAGTCGAACCATTGCTAGGGGAAAGCTCTTCTGTTCTTGAGAACAGTGAATTAATGTAATGATGAAAGATTGTGAGGGGAGGAAAGGCACTATGTGAACACAGACACTTTTGGGACTGGTTACAAATCTAGCAAAGCTGATATTCTGTTTTTATTAAAGGTGTGAATCACCAGTTAAAGCTGCCCATCAAGCAAACTGAGAGTGGAAAGTTCTCTTAAGCATTCTAGGTAGGACGTGTTATTAAAAAGCTGTCTAGCTCTTTCTGTCTTAAAATTATTCATCAGAGTTTATGATTGCCTATGTAATGAATAAATAAAGTTCATTTTAGAAAACTTGAATAAACCCCTTGAATATATGTAGATAGAAACCCATAATCTCTTAGCTCTGAGATAACCATAACCTAGAGCACGCATGATTTTATATATATCATTGATCTATACACATAGCCATGTAGATGTATGGTATATATATATACCATAAATATAATATATATATATATATATATATATATATATAATATGTATATGTTCTTTTATGCATATGTAGTGGTTATTTCACAGTTAAGGGATTATAAATATTGACCTAGATATAATTATATATATATATTAAATTCACACACATATATAATTATCAAAGCCAAGCATGTAAAAAAATCTATCAAATCCTTCACTGCAATCCACCCACTTACTCCTTTCCCACAAAACATATCAGTTTGGGCTGGTACATTTGCTGATTTTTAGATACTATTTTCTGGATCCTATTATACATATGAATCACATTCACTCTCATCTACAGTGACAACAATTAGGGAAATATGTGTATGGCTTGTACAGGAACTAAACTGTAGCATTTTTCATTTTTCAAAGTATACCTTTATTGATAAATCTGATTTTGAGAACTTGATCCAGGGAACAAAATGGAACTTTAATTTATTTATTCTAAAGTACTTATAGAAGTATACCAAAAACTGTTTTAAGCAGTGGGCAGTTAATTTATACTGTAAGAAACTTCTGTCTTCGTTTAGCAAAGACAGACAATGGGAAATCACAAATGGTGAGGCGCCTCAAGGAGGAGAGAAGGAGTCCCAGCCAGCCACTCCACTTGGGAGGCGATCTTTCAGCAAAGGTCACGCAAGGGCGCCTGCCTATCTCAGGTACCAGCACTCCACAGGAACAGTGAATGTAAAAGAAGCCACGATGGCAACCTGGCTGGTTTTCTATTCTGCCTTCCTGACTGCACTGCTTTCTCTATAGCTGGAGAACCCCAGAGGAATACAAAAAAGCAATACATGGGTCCCCAGTCCAGCACACTCTCTGGGTCCATGCTGAGTGCTCCTTATAGAAACAGAGCCAAAGAGGTTTGCTTTATCGGTTGTCTGTCTATCAGAGAAAATCCAGATCCATTGCAGAACAATGTTTTCCAATTTCACCAGGCACAAAAAGATAGCTGTCTCCCCATGGTCAGGAGACTAGTGTGGGAGAAAAGCAGGCACCAAGAGTGACCCTCCAAGCAGAGGAACTACATGTGACCTCTACCTCTTTCTAACTGTGGGAAATTAACTATTTTCTTCTATTTTAATATATTTACCATATGGGGTTCTCTAGATATTTTAAATATAAGTTATGCAATTAGCATAAGTAAAATTTCTCTCTTCAATAAAAGAATTATTATCTTTTCTGTGACTATATTCACCCCTTTAGGTCAGCCACTTGTACTGAATACAAATGTGAACAGTTCTCTACACAGAGAATGAATTCTTGCCAAAGTCTCAGAAAGCTTCGCTCTCATGTCAACAGTTGTCTCCATCTTTTTTATGGGAATTTATTTCTTACTTCCTTCATTTCAGCTAAAAATTGAGGGCCAGGAGGTGCAGAGCACTAACTGAGAGCTCACTAAGAGTCAGCTGAGGACAAATTATGTCATTAGGCCAAGAGAGAAAGGAGCCAAGGCTTCTGGCCACGTTTTCTTCTCCCCTAGGAATCTGAAATACAGCAGACGTACAAGGGGCGGATGGAAGATCACATATATCCCCATTTTGATGATTTGGAATGAATCAGTTATTAGCATTCTAAAATAAATTATGCAATTAACCCAGCCCTCCAAGGAAACTCCCAATTTAGCATTTCAAAAGACTTGCACCATTGTGAAGTTCATTTCCTGCACCAGTCACCACAGTGTCCACACTGATAAGGTCACACTAATTCTGAGCACCAAAGATTATACGTTGAAAATTGAACTTAGTAAACTAAATTAGTTCATTGAATCTAGTTCTGGGCAAGTATTTACACTTGTAAAACACATCCCAAGCTGTATCATTTTATGTGCCATTTCAACTCTAGTTCTTGGGTAAAAAAAGATGAAATATTTTTTCAATAAATGAAAGAATTCAAGTAATGTTGAAACATTCTGTGGACAGAAAATTGCCACATTAGGAATGAAGCTTATTCATTTTGCTTTCTGGAAATTGAAATAAGAGTCTTATGAAAGGTTGTTTATATCTATAATTTCCTCTCTCACTTTATTCTTCTCTGCAGCAGCTCAACTTGCATTTTGAGCAAAGTTTTTTAGGGAAGCTATTAGACTCCCAAACACATCTGAAACTTGAACAGCAGAGAAAAGTGAATTCCAGCCAGTTCCAGCAGCGAGCAGCATCCGTAGGGCCTACCTAGTATGGGGAGTCCACTTAGGCTGGAAGACCGACTCATGCCGGCCCTGAACCTGTCACTCATTGAACACACAACTTGTGTTTTCTTCTGAAACAATCAAGGACTTAAAAGTATTTTTTACTAAAATCTGTCTCTTTACTCGGGCCACAGATGTCCATTGGGTAACTGAAAATAGAACAAAGGTTGATGCCCATTTTCTAAAACTCTCAGATTCTTTCCTGGCTGTGTTTTAGACACATTGGTCATTTAAGAAATATCTGTCTAAAATGCTAATAAAAAGGTTTATTAGTCCTCAGTCAAACTACTCTGTCTCATCACCCTTTAAGACTGAGGACGCTGAGAAATTTAGAAGACCATATAGCTATTCCCAGAATCTTCATTGCCCTGTGCTAGGATTATTTCCAAAAGATGAAAAATATTTCCAAAAGATGAGAAGTATAAAATAAAAAGCAGCCCAAGAGAGATGACCGGCACCCCCCACCACTGACATCCAGGGATCTCTCCAGCGGACACGTGGGGTGGGGGCATGTAAATAGCCTCGGTTTGGGGTGGAACCTAAGGCGGGCATTAGGGATGCACAGGTAGCCCATTGGTCCTAGGTTTGGCACCATATGTAAATTTCCAGGGGCAGGAAGATGGCATCACAGGTAACTTCCTAGGGGCAGGGGAGATAGGGGCTTCCTGCATCCGGTTGAGGCTTTCCTGGCTACAGTGTTCTGTCTGGGCCAAAATCCTTTCACCCTGTTCCTACAGACACCCTGGCCTCCAGCACACAGCCTCACATGACAGGAACTGCACCAAGCAGAGACAGCCCACACATGGGAACCAAATCACCCCTCCAGTCACAGATGCCTTTGGGGCTATGAAACCAGGACTGAGATAATGATGCACCAGAACCCAGCTGATCATAGCACCTCGTAACACTGGGCACTTTCCCTCACTCATTGGCCAGTCTAACCCACTTCTTCAATCCTGTGTCCCTTCAGTTTTTGACATTAAAATCCTTTTCCTAGCTGCTCTTATTTTGTTAAGGGACAGGCTTGATCTTTGTCAAAACTGTAACCCTCCTGTTCTCTCCCCTTCCAATTAAAGCTCTTGAATGCCTCAGTTTTAATTTTTAGTATGGACCAGTGTTAGTCAGTGGCCCTTACTGTTTGGGAGTGAGGCTCAAGGGCAGTGGCCTTGGAGCTTTACTTCCTTGGTGGCACTGGCACAGAATTGTGCTGTCATAGCTACTAGGGTGTCCCAGCTCTGAATGCCAGCAATTTCATTTAGCACACAGGGTAAACTGCAGCCTTCTCACAGCGTGCACTCTGCAGGATCACTTCTTAATCAAAGAAAGCACTTATGAGGATGTTAAAGCACATTCTGAGACAAGTGAGATCATTAAAATACTGCCAGCATTTGATCATACATTGAAAACATCATGGTTGGACTTTCTTACATGAGTTTTTTATAAGACAGTATTTTTAGAGCACTTCTTGATTCATAGCAAAATTAAGTGGAGAAATATGCTTTGAGGATATTGCCTCCCTCCCAGTTTGCAGGATCCAAGAGGGAACTACAGAACATCCAAGCAGTACATGGAATCAGAATGGAGACACTTAGGCAGATTGCACAGGACCTGGACAAAATGGGTGGGAAGAGCCAACGCCCTTACTGCAGTGCCCTCCTGGGACAGCGAGGCTCCAGCTCTGTAGAAACTCAGCCAGGAAGGGCGGCCCAGGTAAAGAAAAGCCTTTGCAATTTCTATGGTTAAACTTAAAGATAAGACATAGGATTTGACCTGGATCCAGATTCTTTAATGATAAAACAAGAGCTCTTGTGCTTCCACATCTGCTGCTGTTACGTGTGTGCCTGGGTATATGGACGTGCGGGTAAACACTTGGTTCTATGTATTTCCTGGAATTAATTTTCCTACACTGTGTTCAAGAGGGAGTTACCATGTTACTAGTCTAAAGTTTGAAAATTATTACTTTAACATACATACCTTTAAGAAGGAAAAAATGCCTGCAATTAAACTATGGGCCTCTGTTGATAGCTTATAATACAGACTGATTCTGGAAAAGTTAACATATGACAAGTATTCCTGGAAGCAATGAAATGCAGTGACTTATTTTTATTACAAATTGACAACCAATGTTTTCCCATATTTCCTGTTTTTTTCCTCGCTGTTGTGAAATACAATTTATTTTTTGTTTTGTTTGTTTGAGATGAGTGTCTTGCTGTGTTGCTCAAGGTGGCCTTAAGCTTTTGATTCTTTCTCCTTGCTTCTCAAGTAGATGGAACTGCAGGTGAGAGCCACCACACCTAGAAAATATAAATAAATTGAAATAAATTATTGCTTCACATAAACATAGGTTGTTCTGCATCTATTTAGTTCTATCAATCTTTCACTCTATTATTACACTAATAAAATTCAATCTCACCAATTTTTTTATTTTACTTTTCAATGATGAGTAGTGTCTATCCTTGTTATTTTTTTTCTTTTTTTTCAAAATTCTATTTTCTTGTTAGATATCTCCTCCACATACAAAATTTTAAACTACTCTTCAAATTTTCTAGGCAGAACTACTAGTGATTGATTTTTATAACTTTAAATTTAGAAATAATTTTAGTAGAATTATCATAATTATAGTATTAATTTTTCCAATAAATATTTAAACCATTTGAATTTTTGTACTTACATTATACATTTAAATTTGGATAGATTAAAATTTTATTAAGTATCTAAAAGTAAAATTATTTAGCCAAGATGTATAATAATATTTAATTCTGATAAACATTGCCAAATTTTACTCCAGAAATTGATTAATGTCCAATAAACAGTGTATAGTATGCTTGTTCATTCAGGTCCTTTTTTATAATTAACTTTATAATTAAGTATAATATAATTATAATATTTATATAATATAATATATATTAAATAACATTATATAATAAATATATAATTTATAATATAATTAAATTTTAAAATATTTTATTTTATCTTGTTAGCTTTAGTTTTAGCAACTATATTTTCATTTCCTTAATTATTAGTGAAACTGAGCTACTTTTCGTATTTTTATCAGCCAGTAATATTTCTCTTCTCCTATTCATTTTACTAGATTTGTTATCAAGTACTAATTCTTTTTTTTCCAGCTAATTTACATTTATGGGCATGAAATTTTGCCTTCACTTAGTAGGAGATATTTTATAGTCTTACTGTTCTTCCACATACCATGTCTGTTATTTAATCTTTTAACATATTCTGATAGCTAATATTTTTTGCCTTGAGAATGTTAGGCTCCAGTTAGGAAACTGAAATCTTGTTAATGGTATGTGTCATGTATTCCCATGTGCTAATCAATGCTTTTATCTTTTGTTTTTTCTAGATCATGATTGCCCTGCATCCCTGAGCAGACTGTTGAAGCCTTATCTGGTTACATAACGATACAGCATGACCCCCTGAAGTAATTTTCTCTTTCCATACTCCACTAGACTTTTCCAAAGCACAACTTTTAGCATAAATGCCAGTACATTATCCTTCCCATGATAATATTTGACTTTCAGTTCCGCCCTTGGGTTCTGTTCCTTTATGTTGGAATCAAGTCTAATCATCTTGCAATGTATCAATCCTGCTTATTTGGCGTTTTTTAAAGAATGATCACTAACACTAAAGTAATCTCCAGACTGTGCAGTCCTCAGAGGCTGAACTGCTGGACAATGCCTGAGTAGAGAATGTGGCCCATCATACAGTCACATCAGAATGTCCCATGTCCACGGGTTCATCTCAGAGGTACACGTCACACATAGTTACCTGGCAAACTGTGCTAGTAGAGTAGCCAATGATAAGAGAATAGAGAAGAAAATGCCTTGATGAATGTTATAAAGACAGCTTCCACATCACAAAGGTGGGATTTCAGACTCCCAAGCAATCTAGGGGAGTTGTGCTTGTGCACTTTATGAGTGCCCTTATGGTTGCAAATCTTTATTGTGAAACAGCTGTGTTGCCGGGTTGTATTGTGGGTCTAGCTGGGTTGCCCAACCTGGTCTCCAAATCCTAGAGTCAAACAATGTTCTTGTCTCAGCCTCCTGAGCAGCTGGGACAGTGTGACACACTACCACTGTAAGTTTTGAGATGACTCATTACTTTCATGTTTCATCTCACAGTTGTCATAATGGCCAATGCAAAATTACTATAGTTCAGCTAATGTGCTGAGTCTACCCACAATTTCAGAGAATATCAGGCTTTTACTGTGCCTTAACACCACTAGAACTTCAATGCAGAGGAGCTAAGCAATCCTCTAACACATGATGACCTTGTGAAAGAATATGGCTAAGTCCTGCTTTCTGTATTGATTGATTCTTAACTAAGGTAGCACATGGTCTTTTTCCAACAACACATCATTGTCTAGTCTGATGCATTTTACTTTATTCTGTGAAACTATTCTATCAGGGGAAGACTCATTGAAGATCTTCTTTTCAGTTCAAAAAGATAGTTGTCAAATATGGTGTATTGGATGCAGCCTGTGCTTAATGGTGTTTGATTTCTAGTGGATTTTAATTATCTGCAACTCAAAGTGAACACAGAGCCCTGAAGATTGAGACTAAGTATTTAAAATTATTAACTAGAAATGAGAACTAAGGATGTATTCATGGATTAACTAAGAAGGGGATATCTCCTTATGAGTACAGAATGACACTACAAGGACTAACATGTAGGGTTCTTTCCACATCACTCCAGCAGCCTGTGAATGTGCCAGGAGAGTTGTGAACATCACAGAAGGTGCCTGTTCTACTGTGGCAATGCACAGGGATGTTCGAAGACTTAATGAGGAGGCATCCTCAGCAAAACAGCCACGTGCTCATTACAGGAAAGCAAATTCAAGAAGGTAAAGAAAGAAAGGATAAGAAGGAAACAATGACAGTAGGTCCTGACTTCTTCAGTCTTCTAAGAAATCTTTGTTTTCATACAATTTTCACTCTGTTGAGCTCTCTCAGTTACTTACATGAAAATGGTGTAATTTTAGCATATCTCCAAATTCCCATCTTTTGTTCTTGAATAAGAAAATTGCTAGGAATATCATTCTTTAATAAAGCTTCTTTTATTCAAAAACCTGCTTCTTTACATGAGGAGCTTGATACTCTTGATTCTCCTTTTCCAAGTAATCTAATTATTTCTGTAAGATCATAAAATTTTCGCTTTATTTCTGTCATTCACAAAATTCTCCACACACATCCTTCTAAATTAGTCATTTTGAACTCAGTAAGATTTTCTACTTGAAAATTTAAGTCTTTTGATGATTCAAGGAAGTGTTCTTCCTTTATCTATGTGGTTACAATTTTCCCCAGTTATTCTTCTATTCTTTTAAGAGCTCTAAATTATTTCCATGTCTCATGTTTTCATCTGTCTTCTATTATTATTTTTAATATTATGTTTTCCATTTAGTCTGCCAAGAAATAATTTGATTGTCAGAAATTTTGAGATTCTATATTGAAATTTCAAACTGGAGAACTATACTTTTGTTTTCTAAAACTCTACTTATTTTATAGTGTTCTAATTGCTCTACTGAAGTATATCATAAATGAATTTGCCTTGCAGTTCATTCAAAGTCTTCTCATTTTTTATCATGAATTGCCCCTCAGTGGGAGCTACTGTTGTGAACATGTGGCTTGGTCTACCTGTTTAAAATCAGTGTGCTCTTTACTCTTTATTCTTCTACACAAATATTTTTACAATGGCAATAATTTATACATACAGACATCTTTTCTATTCAGCATTGCCTATTATACTACCAAATTTGAAATAATCAACAAAATACTGTTAACTAAATTCAGAAGACACATAACTTGATATGCCATGAATCCATCAAAAATAATAAGGTCTTAAGATATGAATTAGAATAAGGGAATAAAATCAGAATCTGCCCCTTTAATCCTAGTGAAATGTGAATAAGTAGCTAAAACAGGAAAAAGAAAAGCTCAAACATTTAAAGCTACTTTTATTTCCATTAAACAAGGAATATGAGAATTAAAGTCAGGTCCCACTAGAGCGAAGAAGACAGAAGAGAAAATCTAAGAGGAGTCTCTCTAGCCCTTGCAGCTTAATGAAGATGTGGCAGGAATCCACTGCCTTTGTCTATTCTCTCATTTTCATCAAGAAGAATAAGATAATAGAATTAAGTAAGACAAATCAAACATATCTGTCTTACTAATTAGTATAAAAGGAATAAATTAGTCTAGTAACACAAATACAAGGAGATTAGATGTAAAACTAAAGAATAACCTGTGTGCAAGGAGAAAAATCAAGGGAAGCGTTGAAGCAAAAAGGACTGGTGACAATGTTGACAATAAATGACAAAAGTCACAGAGGTGATTGTATTTATTCATGCAGAATCTAAATGTATAAGACAAGCGCTTTAGGAATATAATATAAAATAGAAAAAAGTTAACAATAAGACATCTTATTAGCCTTTACTTGACTCTTTAGACAAGTAATTTTTTTTTAAAAAAAGAATAAACAACAATAGCTAACAATAAAGTGGATCAAAAGGTAGCTAAATCCTGCACTCTTAAAACAAAGGATATACTTTTTTTCAAGTGCTTCTATAATATTAAAAACCTGACTTGCCTTATGCTATAAAAATATATTTTATAAAAATATGAAAGTGTTGGGAGTCATTGAAGCTGGAAATTGACCTAGGGCATGACCCTACCAAAATCCAAAGAACTCCCAGGTCAGCCACATGAAGAAGTTGCTACAGCCCAGAAAAACATCAAGCTCCTAGCAATCCAAGCAATGAATTTCTAGGCCAAGGGGCTGAAATTAACATCATCCTTCCCAGTATATAAATAAACATGCTACACTGTTTAACAGTACTTTCCCTCTCATCAGGAGAGTAAGGGCTCCACCTGACCCCAGCCTTGCTTTTGCTTTATTTTTCTTATCCTCTCACGTTCCTTCACCCCCAAGAACCTCAGGAGCCACATAGATCGTGGCATATGGCATCTGAACATGGACAGGGTAAGAGATTGTGGGCAAGGGGACACTTCTCACTAGGGGGAGAAGCACATTGAGTAGTGTAGTGATATTGGCTTCAATAAGTGTAAAGAGTGGGCCATTGAAAGTCTCTTTTTCTCTAGGGCCAATTATAAACAGGCCTGTGAGACACCCCTTCCCCTGGGGTGGGGGGGAGGTAAATTGATTATGTCAACTGTCTAACTATGGGGCAAATATATTCAAAAGAATCGCAAATGTGTAAGGAACTGTTCATTGCATGCTTGGTTCTAGTATTTACATTACTTCTGTGGATCTACATTAGACAGGATCTTATTAACTGTAAGCTTCTTGAGATAACCACAATGGAAATGACTCCAGACACTGTTTTAGAATCAAGTCCTGAGCAGGGAAAAGGTGGCAGCATGACGGCCACCCCAATAAACTTAGCTGAGCTACAAGTGGCAATTTTTTAAACAAATTTTGCTGCATCACAGGTTGGAACTTCCACCTCTCAGGGAGTAGAGTTGTTTTCTCTGTCTCTCTTGCAACTAGCACTGAAAGAAGCCAGGTGGGCAGGGGAGTAGATGGAGGGTTTTCAACGTATCTACCTGGTTACAGAACTTTTAGTACCCAATAATCTGGGACAAGTTATACATCATCATGAAGTGGTACCACTGAAGTCATTAAAAGAATTTTTTAAATGCTACTACCACCTATGGCCCTACAGCCCCATTTACTGTGGTTTTCACAGAGCTCCTAGAACAACAAGTTATGGCCCCAAGTGACTGGATAGCTAAAACATGTTTAAATCCAGGGGATTGTTTGTTGTGGAAAGGATTTTTTTTTAAATTATCCATAGACTAGACCATGCACAGTGCCACTCAGAACATAACTATTACAAAAATATGTTGATGGGTGTCTTTGCCACTACAGGCAGTCAGCTTTCTTTTGATATGCAAGTATGTGACCAAGTTAGAATAGCAGCCACAGAGACTGAAGGGAGCTCCCTTCAAGGGGTGAGACTTCCCTGGATTTGATTTCCATTCGTCAAGGTCCAGATAAAACATATCAGTATTTTGCTGCACATTTATTACAAGCTTGTGAGAGTTATAATTGACAAAGAAGCAAGTAAATTAACAGTTCAACAACTGATGTTTGAAAATGCAAGTAAATGGTGTAAAGAAGTTTTAGGATCCCACAAAAGGTGAGGTATGCATCTTAGATGATTCAGGTTTGTGCAGATATTGCCCCCTGGTATGTACAGGGGGCTGCTTTAGCAGCAAATCTCACTTAGGTCATCAACCCACAGCCTAAAGGAAAGGGAAACTTGTTATCATTGCAGGGGGGAAGACATCTTGCTTGAAACTGTTCTGCTACTGCACCTGTGGAGGCAGCACAGTGGCTGTCTGTCTCTTCCACAAAACCTCCCCATACCTGTAAAAGATGTCTATGAGGACAACATTGGGAAAGTGATTATAGATTAAAAATAGATGTGGAAGGCTGGCCCATTTGGGAAAACTTCCAATAGGACTTGCCTTGGCCCCGCCAAATAATGGGTGTGCTTTCCTCAATTCCTCCCAGCCTCACGCTCTGCCACCAAGTATGTTTCCTACCTCTGGTGAGCAAGTGTTTATAAATTGGAAAAAATCTATAAACAAGGAAAAGGGCCAAGGGTTTTTGATCTCCCAATACTTATTGAATTCAGCAGATTAAGCAAGATCGTCCTGAGATGGAATTGATCATTGAAGAAAAGACATTCAAAGGGCTTTAAGACCCAGGAACAGGTGTTTCTGTTATTGCCCAAAAGCGTTGGCCAATGACATGGCCTCGGGATTTGGCAACTACAGATCTACAGGGTGTGGGCAACATTTTTTCACCCTAATAGAAGTGCTAACTTGTTAACCTGGAGGATGCAGGTCACTCTGGACATTTCTCACCTTATGTCCTCCCCCATATACAAGTTAATTTATGGGGTTGTGATGTATTACAGGATATGGGGGCATTTCTGGTTAGCCTTAACTTTTTGGTGACTCATCAGGTGTTACAACAAGGTTTTCTCCCCACTCAAGCTCTTGGTAAAAACAATCAAAGAAAGAGAGAACCTTTCCAATAAACCCCAAAAAGGACTGTTTTGGCATAGTGTACTCAACTTCACATTTTTAGGGGAGGCCTTGATCTCTTCTCCGACCCCACAGATGATATCCAAGATAACTTGGATGTCTGATGACCCTGTTTGGGTTGATCAGTGGCTTGTAGCAGCTCATTCACTGGTTAATGAACAAATGATGGCAGGACAGCTATAACTCTCCAATAGCCCTTGGAATACCCTATTTTCACAATAAAAAAGAAGTCAGGAAAATGAAGACTATTACAAGATTTGCAGGCTGTTAATAAAACCATGGACCCTATGGGAGCACTTCAACCAGGATTGCCTAGTCCCATAGCTATTTCTTTGCATTTTTCTCTCATGGTGATTGATTCAAAGGATTGATTTTTTACTATTCCCCTTCATCCTCAGGATAAAGAATGTTTTGCCTTTAGTCTACCTTCTACTAATCATCAGCCTCCTACATATCACTTCCAGTGGTGGTGTCTGCCATAAAGAATGGCAAATAGTTAGACTTTATGTCAAGAGTTTGTGGCTGCAGCTATTTTGTCAGTCTGTCAGGCTTATACATCTATTTATCTTACTCATTATACTCCATAGATGATATAATATTGGCACCTTTTTCATATTTGAGTTACATCATCCAGCAAAGACATATTGTGCCATAAACTCTTCAGATTCAAACTAATCAACTTGCAATCTTATTGGATTTTCAGACTTTACTTGGTAATATTAATTGGCTCTGCCTAGCTCTTAAGCTAATTCATGATTTAGGTCCAAACCTTCAGGGGTGACCCAGCCCACACATCTCCAAGGACACTCACATCAGAGGCTAAAGTTGCCTTGCGCAAAGTTAATCTGGCTCTCTTCACTGTCCAACTTTCTAGAGTGGACCCAGATTTTCCCATGTTTTTAATTATCTTCTCTACTGTATGTATGCCCACTGGGGTCTTTTGCCAGTCACAGGGACCTTCACAATGGCTACATATGACCATACTCCACACAAAACCATTACTCCCTTCTATGAGGCTGTGGAAGAACTGATTGCATGTGGGTGAACATGCGCTATTCCG